AGAGGGTTTAGGGATTTGAAAGCCAAAGCAAGAAAAGCCAAAAGCATGGTTTCTCCTCCTACATGACTTCAGAAATCAAAACACATTATCTGTTTTAAGAAATTAAGAGAGTCCATTTGTGTTTTTATGAGTACTCTAAATGTTTGTGCATCCCGAATGGTCACACATATAGAAAGATTTCTGTATGAGTGAATACTTATTCCTGCCAAAACATTTTATGTTAATGGACAGCAGAAGACCTTCACAGACCATCTATATTTGAACATTTCAATTTTCTAAAATCACCCCATGCAACATAAAACCTCCCTGTTTATTCCATACAGTGCTTTCCAGGTTCTTCTTAAACAGGGAGGTTGGCTTAAGTAACCACCGCTTTTAGGACCTGATCCAGTGCCAGTCAAATTCAACGCGAATGTTCAAACAACATCAATCTCCTTTGAACTAAGTCTTCCATGCAATTTGTGTATATTTGAAGGTGGAATCATTTTTTTTTTTTGCTTGAAAGATTGCTAGTGCTTAATGTAGCTTGCATTGTCTTTTTAAAGTCAGACAATCAAATCACATAATGTAATTCATCAACATCATTACTCCTCCCCAAAGACAAAGCACAAGCTAGACACAAGCTTGAGAGGCATGTGAGAGAAAATACTGCCTTTAAATTAGAATTAGCAGATATTAGAGGAAGGGAGGAAAAGTGAGGAAGTGTTCACCGTAAAATATACATTTGACGGTGCTTATGTGTTTTACAAAGGATGGTGAAGCAGAGTCCAGCAAGGAAGGGTTAGCTCCTGTAATCAAGCCCATGGGAATACTACGGTACCTACAGCGGCATTGCTAACTCTCTCAACTTTATTATCAGTCTTGATATATTACACAATTTTCTTTGGCTTGGCTCCTGAAATAAAACAATTTCATGAAAATCTCATTTTTCAATAAAAATGAGAAAAACCTAAACTGGGGCACCAAATGTGGAACCTTAAGGCTTGGAAACCTAAATGACAAATGACTACTTTTTGTCTCTCCGATTTTAATAACTCACAAATTTTAGGGGAGCCATTTTCACGATTTGCTTGGACTTCACACATAGTTCACGAACACAAGACAAAGGCAATACTGAACATACAGTAGTGCCAGTGGGCTCTTACAGTAAGAACGGCATTAGCTTTTGGAGCTGGTGCTCTGTGTGTTTAATGTCTACCGGTAAGTGAGTTCTTGAGAAAAATCCCTATTTTTCTTTGGACTGGATCCCCAGCTCCCAAACCAACCAACAGATAAACCAACATACTCCCATGTTCTTCAACCAAAAATGATTAAAGACCCCATTCCTTTCAACAAAAACCGAATCCCTGCTTTTGACACTTTAACCAAGCTGAGGCATGGTATTAAGGAAAAGGAATTTGAAGCTTCACACTGAAAATCAGTGTCTTTGCTCTGCTAGCAAAGAAAATTTTGATTTAAGGAATAGTATCGCTGAGGACTGCATGGCAAATATTCTTTCTCACACGCAGCTGGGAATGTGCTGTGTCCTTTCTGTTCAGTATAGAGACAACATGAGTTTCAGCAGTATAAATAAATGCTTGCAGATCCAAAAGTCCCTATTTTTGGGCAAGGGAGTGGCTGTAATAGAAGTCCTAAATTAGCAAACCGTGACTTACGAGTCATAGAATGATCTAGGTTGGAAAAGAACTTCAAGATCATCAAGACCAACTATTAACCTAACACTGCCAAGTCCACCACTAAACCATGTCCCTAAGCATCACATCTACATGTCTTTTAAATACCTCCAGGGATGGTGACTTCACCACTTCTCTGGGCAGCTCATTCCAATGCCTCACCACTCTTTCAGTACAGAAATTTGTTCCTAATATCCAATCTAAACCTCCCCTGGTGCAACTTGAGGCTGTTTCCTCTTGTCCCATCACTTGTTACTTGGCAGAAGACCCAATCTCACCTTGCTACAACCTCCTTTCAGGTAGTGGTGGGGACCGAGAAGGTCTCCCTCAGCCTCCTTTTCTCCAGGCTGAACAACCCCAGTTCCTTCAGCTGCTCCTCATCACACTCGTTCTCCAGACTCTTCATCAGCTTCGTTGCCCTTCTCTGGACATGCTCTACTGCCTCAATGTCTTTCTTGTCTTGACGGGCCCAAAACTGAACATAGGATTGAAGGTGCAGCCTCACCAGTGCCGAGTACAGGGGGACAATCACCTCTCATTTCCTGCTGGCCACACTATTCCTGAAGCAGGCCAGTATGCTGTTGGGGCTTCTTGGCCACCTGGGCCCACTGGCTGATGTTCAGCTGGCTGTCAGCCAGCACCCCTAGCTCCCTCTCTGCTGAGCACTTTTCCAGATGCTCCTCCTCAAGCCTGTAGTGTTTCCTGAGGTTGTTGTGACCCAAGGGCAGGACCCGGCACTTGGCCTTGTTGAACTTCCTACAACTGGCCTTGGCCCATTGATACAGCCTGTCCAGATGCCTCTGCTCCCACCAAAACTGGTGCCATCTGCAGATTTACTGAAGGTCTTTAGTGAGACTTAAGCACAAAAGAGATGCTAGAGCCCTGACATATGAGAGTGAAATTTCAATGGCTTACACGGCTTTTGATCAAACTTTTAGTCTCTGAATTCAGTGGCAAGCACAATCGTTGACTTCAAAGATAAAACTTGGACTCCTCAAACTCAAAGTTCAAAGAACTTGCAAGCTGCAATGCTGGATCTTCTTTAGCACCTTACTCAATTGTGTCAGAGTTTATTCCTCACCTTGAAATATTATAATAGGTAAGCTATACTCATTGTGGAAACACACACTGGGTTCATTTTTGTAAAAAGAACATAAACAGCTGAAGTTAAAAAACTCTGGCCCTTTACAAATATTCAAAGATGGCTTCAGCAGATAATGCAAGACACATGAGTATTTTCAATTCCTTTCACAAAATATAATAAATGAATCTTTAACTAGATGCACAGCATAACAGTGCCACTGGATTTCTGAGAAGACATGAACTCTCAGTCCTAATGATAAAATAGTGCCTAGTCTCTAGCACTTTCATGTAGAGTGGCAGCTCGGAGAAAAATTTAGTATCACTAATTTGACCTTGAACGTCAAGGTTTAAGCCTTACAGGTTTTGGGGAAAGAAAGGAGTAAACTTCAAGCTGTTTTGATAACATTAAGATTAAAAAATATGTATTTTCCAGAAGAAGCAGTCAGTCATTAAATTATCCCAGAGACGAGAGCACTATCCATCTAATCTGTACCCAAGAAGGCATATCCCTCAAGTAACAATGATGTGCCACTCCAATTTCTTAAGATGTCTTTTTACCATTCTAAGGCCATATGATTGTCACAGAATACATCACATCCCAGATTGAGAGCCCATCCTGAAACAACTTGACTGAAATTCTAAGTTTTAACAGTTCTTGAAGACAAAGCTGAAGGTACACTAACAGCAAGCAACAGGCAACAGAAAACTTCTAACGTGCACATAATGCAATGGATATCACATTATTTTTCCTTGGTGTGTCAATTCTTTCATTTCATAGGCCTAACCAAATATGAAAACATTAAACACAATCCCAGAGCTCAAAGCCACTTCTAAAACTGCCAAGCATAAAACTGTTACTGAACCTCTCTGTTCCGTTTATCATATTAAGATACATTTTTTTGATGAAAAAATGCTAGATTGCAAGCGTAACATAATAGAACCAGCAAGCACTGCCAGCAGGACTGAGGATGAGAGAATAATTCAGAGATATTGTCATCTGTAGGCCAATTTATATTGTCAGACAGCAGGTTCACATTAGTTTCTGATGTCACTGCAATAATGGTATAATATAACAATTGAGCAAAGAATACCTGTGGGGTATAGCTATATGGTGCGGTATATCTATACTTGTTAAAGTATTTCAGAATTCATTCAAAGAAGCACCAGAAGAAGCAAAAGACGAGGATTAAAAGAAGATTGAGAAAAGGGTGTTCATAAAGGCTTCTGAATATTGTAGCCCTTGTTTTGTGATGATGAAGCAAGCCCAATGTTGTATTTCATTGATTCAGTGGGTTCATGATTAAAACAAACCAATGTAGCAATTTAGGGGGTTTGTGCTTCCTTTTTTTTTTTTTCACTCTAACAAGAAAAAAAAAGCTTTTTAACAGTTTTTCGCGGCAGGCATAATGTGCATCTGTGCTCTGATTTACTGCACATGCTGCCTTCTCTAGCATCATGTTAAGTTAGGGTATCAGCATGGTAGGTCACACAGCGGGAGTGACCTTTCGCTAATCACTACACATCAGTTACTACTGGCTCACAGCTCATTACTAAGAAACCCTCCAACTAGCTGGCTTTCAAATCCGCTCACACTTTGATTTTTTTCTCCCCTTTTCTTTCTTTTTTTCCTCTAGACTAAAGATTATGCTTTTACATAAAATCTTCTGTTCTGTAATTTTGTCAACTAAGGTTCCAAAGTCAAAAAGGCACCCAGTTAATTTTCCATGATTATAAAAGAAGCCAGAAAATTCACACTGAAGGTAGGCCTGTAATCTTGGGTTTCATTAAAAAGGTCAGACCATTTTTACTCACCACCTACTATTAAAATGTTTGAGGGCTGCCATTAATTTGATTTTTCAGGATACAGAAATCTCACTGGAAATTAGAATGCGATCCTGCTGTTGCTTTACTGACACTTTTCACAGGGTACGATACGGCTGCAGGGACTAAGAGCTCTCCTGCAATTTACAATTGGTTACTTTGGACAAATGGCAGGTGACTAATGCAAGACAAACTGTTTGCACAACCCGGGAGCACTGGGTTTAATTTCAGATTCTGGAAGAGGGGAGAAAGGGTTTCTATTGACGTTGAACTGTGAGCTGTCCCCTGCCAATACATCTGCCACATTTAATACACAATGTGCCCCCCACTCCGCCCCGACAATGTGATTATTAGAGGTACAGAATTCAATAGCTTAAGAACACAAACCATAGCTGGAGCAAAATGAAATGGTTTTTAACTTACCGGCCATTTGCTGAATGCCGCTGAAGGCACCCAAGTTACTGGAGGAAGTTGCTTGCTGCAGGAGCTGCAAATTAACAACACAACACAGCAATCTATCTGACACTAATGTAACAAATGAAGATAAAACTAAAATAAGCCATCATTTCACATTTGGAGTATTTATGCTTTCTTTTACATTTATATAGTCTCTTGCTTCTGTTCATTGTTGGAATGAACATCCCTAGAGTCAATGCTGTAAATCCATATTAATGTCTAATCTCTATTAAGAAACAGAGAGACACAAGGGAAACTCAATAACATTGCTGCTTTAAAACAATTAATCAATTTATTCTTTTTAACAACCAGGTGTTAAATCTATTTAAACCAACATAGCGTGACTAATTACAGCCCTCTGTAGTCTAGTAGTTACCATAACTCATCTCCGTCAATCACAGTCCATTCTCCTCCACCCCCTCGAATTCATTTTTTTCTATATCATTTTTATGAATCAAGCACACAGATACTCAATAGACCAATATGTGTCTATAACAATTTAGTCTTCCTCAGTATCAATTAGCCTACTTCAGTACTAATATATATTTTTAATTGCCAGGTAAATTGCTGTTTATAATTATACCACTATACCAAAGCATTGTATGCATCCAAATTATGCATTTATGCATACACAGTACATGTACATGGACGTATCTATTTGTCTAACTCTTGAACCATCAGGGACTACCAAGTTATCCAAAAGCCAGACCTCTCAACCCCAAAGCTGCAAAAGGCAGAGGCTTGCTCTCCACTTGTGCTGCAGGGGAGTCTCTCTTGGCCATCCAGGAGCTAAGACACGTGGCTGTGGATTTCAGAGGCATCAGCTAACATCTCTTTCTCATCTTACAAATGGACCAAGGAAAATACCATTTTAGATTTACGAGAAACACAGTCGTCTTCACTTTCTGTACAAGGTAGCATGAATGACGCATGTTTAGCATTGACTGGACCACGCATTAAAGAGAAAGGAATTTCCAGATGAAAATGTGGAAAATTAGAAGATTGAACAATAACATTCCACTTTGGAGGCTGCACCATACAGATATGGCCCCTACAGTGTCCATCTGTCCTCCTCTCGGGAAGAACTTAAATTTTATTCCAGCTATAAACATCAAATTCTAACATCCAAAAGAACAATAAAACTAAAGGAATCAAATTTTATTTTGCAGCATGAGTAAACTTTAAATGCTTGTCCTGGGCAGCACTGACACATCTTAAACCATGCAATATACATAGAGTTTGTTACATAGAAGAAGATATGCTCCGCAACCTGGAGGACTTGGTAACTTATTGCAGGGAGTTTGCTCTAGCTGATTTACCATGATTCCTAAACAAGTAAGAGTATGGTATAGCCACCACCTCTGAAACGGACTTACAGCTAGATACTGCGGTGTGAGTCCTCCAAGACCTGTGAGGTTTCCCCAAGTGGCAGTATTGAGCTGCTGCATCTGCTGTGCCAACTGCTGCTGCAAACGCCGCTGCTCCTTGTCCTTTTGGGTATCGGCAAACTTCACCACGATAGGCGAAGAGCAGCCCTGTGATTAGACAGATGGGGAAAGACAGAAGTGTTAAATCCCACCGAGTCACGCTCACATCGTGAGCTCAGCCATGTCCCACAGGGCCCCTGGCAATGGCCCGATCTGCCTGCTCACCCTCTCTTTGTGATGGGCATATGTAGGACCACAAGGATTAAGATTTCCAGCTTCTTAGGAAAACAGGCTGTGGAGAAATTATTGATTCCCCAGTTCTTTTTACAAAGCACCTTTCCTCAGGCTCTCTTACCAGCTATCAAAATTGCTGCCAGAGACAGCGAAGTGCACCAGTCCTCTTTAATTAAGCCTCCCAGCTGATGAGGTGGACGTGATGCTTTGTCTGCAGTCTGTTTTCAAGGCATTGCCAAAGGGTGAGGTGTCCAACCTCCTCGCTGCCAGGGACCACAGAGCCAACACCGTCCTGCCACCACGCTCTGGCTGTGCGATCACGCTCGGTGCAGCTGGCATAGACCAGGAGCAACAGATTTACTCCAGTGCCCGCTGTCAGCGGGTTGCCGGTCCTTTTCTGTCCCAAAGTGAGCACAAAGGGTGATGCTGCTAGGACAATTCACCCACCTGCAGCCCGCTCTCAGGCACGCTTTGTATCAAGAACCCTTGAGACGTGAACAAAGGGCAGGGTGCAGACCAAAAGGGACTAGTTCTGGTGACAGCAGCCCCCTTGTACCTGACTGCTACCATTTTTTCTACTGCTTCTATGAGCCTCTTGTTACATGACAGGGCAGGGCTGTAAGATGTCTTAGGAAACAGGGCAGTTGTAAAAAAAGAACTAAAGATCTGGTCTGCAACCTACTCCTCACTCATGTCTAAGGGACCCTTGAGAAAAAGTAGGAGGTGACAGACAAGATGGACCTCTGAGGTAAGCTGGACTTTTCCCTTGGGCTTCAGGTTGGGTATTCCTGGGCAATGCCACTGAGAGAATGAGACGTGACTATGAAAGATCTCTCTGTTGTTTTTTGCTCAATTTTTTTTTTCCCCACTAAGAAATGTTTTCATATTTTTACCTTTCAAGTCTTCATTTTTTTTTTCAAATCAAGGGAGCAAACTATATACTGCAATGATTCAGTTCTTCAAATTAATTCAAGCAATTTGTGAGTCATCAAAACTGTCAATCCATTTTGTACTGTTTTCCAGTTTCAGAGGACCCAGTGAATAACTTCCCTCCACCTGCCATGCTTTATTATACTAATTTCTTGTCTAACTTCACTCTGAACACAACGGTAAGAGTGAAAGGTGACTCAAGTCCAAATAACACAGCAGCCTTTAGCCGAAGTGTACAGCGTGGGATACGGGGAGGGTTATACTTAACCCAACTCTTTCCACGGCTGCTCTCACAGCACTGTGAACATCTTCAGAAAAATTCCTGTCCTCTATTATTTACAAAAAGCAGCTGCATACCTTTTCTCTGAGGAACCTCACACCAGGACAAATTATAAGAATATTCACAATCAACAGACAAAATGAAGAAATAAACCATAATAATAATAATATCTCTTGTATGAAGATCTCCCATCAATACTGTTCCTTTAGAATGATCTTAGAAAATAATCACTTGTGATTTATTATTCCACCTCCAGCTCCTCTCCTGTGCATTTCATGGTAAAAGTATCTCTCAGTGTTCCAGCGAGGAAGAAAGGAGATACCTACCACTCCAGCAATCAAATAAAGATTATGGAGTCAGCTTGCTACACAATTACTTCTCTCTAGTGATTTTTATATTAATATTAAAACCAAAACCCTTAAAAAAAGAAATAAAAAGGATCCAGGGGGTGGAGTGTGTAAGAAAGATTTTTCTGGCTTCGCTAACAAAAAAAGCAAGCTGTTTCTATTTCATAGGAGGATTGGTAGGACTGAGCAAAGAACAACCAGAAGTTACTGCCTTCTACCTAGATGTACAAAAGGATTAAGTCTGTTTCCGAAGAAATGGAAATAAATTTCAACAGAAGAAATATTGGCTATTTCAGTCCTCAGTTCAGCAGCTCAGCACTCAACACTACAGCTGACATCATATTTATGAATGCTTAAAATGTCAATAAATTGCATAAAAACAATATCTCTGCAATTTATGAATCTATAATTCACTTTTTCACTGTCTGCACTATATTTCATCACTTCATCATTTTCAAGTGAGCAAACATTATGAAGACTAAAATTATATGAAGCAAGCGGCTCTATATGAGAAAAGGGTTGTTACTGTTGCATCAGATTTACTCCATGATAACAAATTAGTGCCTTCTTATTGGTGCTGCATTTGAATGCCCTAAACAAACAAACAAAAACTCCACTGAAATGAGACAGAAGAGCAAAAACTCTAGAGCAGCAATTATGTTTTTTAAAATCAGTTGATTTAACCAGGTCAGAAAGTCAGGTGGAAAGAGTAGTTACAGAATTCATTATTCTAAGAGACGTGTTCATCTGGACAATAACATGCCCATTATTCTTTCTTAGCCAACTTTGAAAATTCATCTTGGTCAATGATCCATGCCAAAGAACTCAAAATAATGAAATCAGAAAAAAAAATCTACAGCAATTGGGTTGAAACTTAATTGTGTACTACATATTGTCCTCACTTTTGCTTGCAAAAAACCCCAGGAAACAAAGACAACCAAGAACCACTGTTTCAGGGTGAGAGTCGAGTTTTAACACTAGCCAGTCCAAGTTAGCTTTTTACTAGAATATTGGCAAAAGTGAGCAAAATGTTTTTGCATAAAGGGTGATTTCTCTTTTATGCTCTTCCATTTTCTAACCTGAGAGGAAGCTCCCATCACTTCCACAAGTTGCATCTCCCTTCCTTATTTAACGGCATGGTACCTCTGCCCCATTTAGTGCCATCTTCTTCCTAACAGCTGGTGCTACCTTCATAACCGGTCTTTGTGTTGTCAAGACAGTAGGTACAGACTCCATTAAGTCCCTCACCCATGGAGCTGGAGGGTCTACTGCTTCTCTCCAAGAAGGGACTCTCAGCCTAAGCTCAATCAAAACAAAGATCCAGATGATCAAAGTGCAAAATAATTGGAACCACCTTGCCAATTTGAGGATCTCACTGATGACATCTCTTAAGGTGTTGAGAAGTAATTTGATTCAAGAGTAACTATTCTATAGAATTAATGGCAACAGGAGTATGGTATGGTATCAAAATGCAACCTCTTGGAGTATTTCATACAACAGAAGAATGGGAGAGGTATTATCTCTTTGATTTTATCATCTTCTGAGGTAGAGCTGTTTAAAATTCATTATACTAGACAGAGAAATACATTAAAACACATGGAAAATATAGGTAAACCACAGTATTACCAATAAACAATTCCTTTTTATTTGGAACCAAACCCAATAAAACATATAGATCTGAATTAATGGAGCAGTGCATGGCAGACAAATTACTACGAGTATTATTTCAGAGACTCAAAGTGGCAGTTTTTTCACAATATACTGTCAGACTGCACAGATTTTACAACAGCAGCTTTCTAGTAAAGATCATTTCAATTATTCTCATCTCATTGGCAGATTCTCATCTAAAACTGTATACTCGGGGTCTAAAAATGCATTGCACTGAAAAGAAAACACATAGATTATAAAAGAAGCTCAACCAAATTCAAACACGTTGTTTGGAAAGACAATAGCTTTGCAATGCTGATATCATTACTTGTAGAATACAGGAAACAGTTAGTGACAGTTTCATGCACTGGCTTGATTTTTATCTTCTCCTTCTCCTCCTCCTCTGTCCACCCTCCCACCCTTGGTCTCCCCCTTTGGCTCGTTACACAAAGCAGCTCAACGACATGACGCAATAATGATTGTTTAGCACCCAGCATGCTTTGGGAGACTAGAGCATTGCAAAGAAAAATCAATGATAGAAAAAAAAAAATTGAATCGAAAGGTCCTGGTGGAAAAATAAATAAAAAAAGAAAACAAGTGCACATAACATCAATGCCACCTCTGAGAAAAATCATCACTACACGAAGATACAGTATACATAATACAGTATAACATGCACTCTCCAATGATAAGCTAGAAGATCCAGAGTAAGTAAAGACTTCATACTTGTGCGGGTTTTTGTGCAAAATTCTGAAAGACCATGACAAAAATCACAGACTGAAAAAAGTTTTTGAGATTGCCAGACAAGTCGTGGCATTCGATAACCACTCCAATGAAGGAAGCCTGCAGCTCTGTCCATATTAAGTGAACAGGTTTAAAGTTTTGTGCTGCTTATCATGATAAAATACAAGGCCGTAGAGGCAGTTTGGAAGGAAATAAAGAGCGTTGCTTGTGCGGGGCCAGCCACGACAGTGCTCTGCAGGAAGTGCCGCGCTTCGGATATGCTCCGTCATCATTAGCATTTTTATTGGCTACATGAAGAAGGAGAAATTATATTAATGTAAAAAGAGATTCTATTTGCAGAAAAACACAAGCACTAGTAACTCAGCGTGGCCAGGTTAAATCTCTTGAGCTTATTCTCAGAGCAGCGCAAACCACAACACTTAAAAATCTATTTAAAAGAAACTTAAGATTTTTTTTGTGGGGCGGGTGTGTGTGAGTGTTAAAATCAAAGGTAGTTTACTCATCAGATATACTCTGAATATGAGTGAGGAGCGGTATTTACAGCATTTTTTACTTTCCGCTGAATGCCACTGAAAACATGATCAAGAGCCGTGTTTGGATACCACACAGCAACCTTACTGTGCGCTTTCAGGTCGTCAAGAAAAATAAGCTTCACAAAGACAGGTAGAGTGAGTCGGTAAAAAGTTTAAATCTGTGATTGTCATGTGTCTGATCTGAGCCAGGAGAGCATGGCTTTACCATTCGCAATCATTTGCACAAAGAAAACAAAGAAAGGGCAAATGATACAGTACTGTACCTCCATGGTCTGAGACTGGTGCATGGCTTTGATTGCATTCTGTGCCATTGCCCTTGTAGAAAATGTGACAAACGCACAGCCTGTGGGAACAAGGGGACAGGGAGCAGGAAAGACAAAAAACAACAAGACAAAAGGGTTGGACGCTTGTTAAACCAACACAATCTACGAGAACGGCCACAAGACGACACTGTTCTCAGTAGTACATAAAAATAAACAACTTCTCTAGTTTATTTATCGACAGTGCTGACTTGCTAATCTGACCATAGATGAAAGAAAAAAAATTAGGTGGCGATGGGTGAGGAGAAAGGGTTGTTTTCTGTAATTTTTGTTTTGTCCTATTTTTTCCTCCCTTTTCTGTTAGTTTTTTGGTTTCGTTTTTGTTCTTTAGCCACAGGGTTTGAAATAAGTAAGGTTTTTATGTCGACTTTGGATTGCATAGTTTAGTCTATTCAGACCATGCATTAACAGTTGCTTGCTATGGCCTTCGTGCAGGTAAATTGTGGATAGTGAAAAACTGACTGGCATCACTGGCAGCCGAACTGGGAATTTAGTAAAGGAGTCCATGTGACATATTTCTGTGATGTACCGAGGACAATCATACAATTAAGGATGGGAAAAACTCTGCTGTGTAGCCTGTGACTAGGTGTGAAAAGACTCAAACAAAATTCAGTAATGAAGGTGGAATCTCAACACTTAAGAAAATAACATTAAAAGTAAAAATCTCTACGGTTTTTGTTTCTCCGAGTCCTAGGTATAGTTCTTTGATCCATGGAAGCTACCACCAACCTGAATAATTCTAAAGCTACATGCATGAATAACTGAAAAATCACATTTTCTTTCCTCCTCAGCCTTTTAAATCATAATAAGAAGCCGGTAGGCTAATGCCTGGGCTATTTTTCCACCCTTTTACTATTGTCAGTCATACCTAGACTGGGCATGGTACAGGTCAACTTTTTTAGTGCATGGCTCACTGCCCTTTTGACTAATAAAAACACTGCCTTCTGAGATTTACATTTTATTCTTCATGCACCCTTGGGCATCTTAAAGAAAAAGACTGTGAAATTAATGCAGATTCAGGCTGATTTTGTAATAATACCATGGCACACTAAAAGCTTAGCTAAAGCAACACAGACTTATTTCACTTGTGATCTCTAATGACTTTAAAAGTGCATTGATTTTCAGCTCCCTTAGCCTTGCACAGTTTGAACTTAGGTTTCAGAGAATAATTTAGTGTTCCACTCAATTTCCTCAAAACATTATTATTATTACTACTTAAAAGACTTCCAAATGAGGCAAATCTAAGCACTGAGAGGCTAAAGCATATTGTCACTTTAGAGCTAATGCATGAAAGCTACATTCTGGCATCAAAAATACAATATTGTTGCCCCTGTGGCCAATGGGCAAAATAAACCATTTTGCAATCCAACAAGCAACAGATTGTTTGGTTTATGCAAATCAATTTGAGGCATAAAATACCTTTTCTTTTTTTGCTCTGTGTGTACCTGGTAAGATTATCAAGTCAAGACTGTATTCACATTTTAATCAAACAACAGTAAGAGAAAGCAATGCCTGATCATTACCCAAAAGCACTACATCTACTCATGAAGTCAATGCATTTTTGCATCATGCAGTATTTTTTTTTCTCTTTAAGTAAAGGCCCTTGATACAAGAGAACCTAAGCCGGTTTATATACCTCTGAATGAGAGACGAGCATCATAAAATCAGACTTTAGAATTCTTTTATGTAAACTTCATGGCACTGTTGTGGCTAAATATTTCTCAGGTAACATAACAGCTGATAATGTCTTACCACTGTTTAGCCCCACTACGTGATGCTATACTATTCTTACTCAGCAACAAACTGCTGTCAAAGAAAACGATGTAACAAAACAGCTTTCTGTATGGCAATCTAGACAAAATCTGTAGTAGAAGGGCAAATAAACTTCAGTACCTCTGCTAGATTCCATATTGCTGCTGTGCACTAAAATTAGAGGCCCAAATTTACCATCATCTCAAAGTAATCTCTCTTAAAACCATTTCTGCTGTTATCATTAACAGAGGAAATAACACCAAGAGTTTTCATTTCTTGTCTTGCAAATTCAATGGGGGACGAGAACAAATAGAGATATACTGGAGGGCAGGCAAGAAATCCCATACAGAGCCTTGAATAATATTGTTTATAATGGTCAAGCAACTGCTTCATTTACTTCTTTCGCCCTCATTATCCAGGAGTGTGTACCACAGTGACAATTACTGAACGGAGGTTTAGAATGCATAAGAAGCATGTAAAATGTCAACAAAAATCAATAAGACACAGTTTATGCATTTATCACAATTTCTACCCAGCAGTACTGCTGTAAGTAACTTACTGAGAGATGTTGCAATTAGCAGGTCTCAAATGAAATGGGAATCAGCAGAGAAATAAAGCTGCGCTCCTCTCAATGTAGAGCAGACTCCCTCTTCCCTCCCTTAAGCTTCTGCTTTTAACCACCCAGCTCGGCTGCTGGGGACTTTCAACACCCAACACTGCCGCAAAACCTCCCTCCTCGCTCCTCAGCCCAAATCCACGTGCGTGGATCCCGCTGCCTTTGTCACGGAGGAAAAAGAGCTTCGTAGCGGATCTCTGGGAAGTGCCACACAGCGATCTATCGGTTTGAAAGAAATTTGTTCTCTGGACAAGGGGAATGCCTGATGAATGAGGTTATGCAGCTTGAATATGAGTGTAAGGAAACAGCGTTCCACAGAGAAGACGGGTCTGCATTTTAATTAGATTGCCAGCCAGAGGCTACAAGGTTAGGTCCCCTTGTTATCTCCAGTTGGCAGGCCATTTCCCACCGATGGACAGAGGCCATTTGCACAGTAAATACCCAATTTGCCTCAATAACCATAGTGAAAATTCAGTATACAACCTTGTTTCTAAATTATTTGAAAACCTAGACCTTCAGTTGTTACCACCAAGCACTCCAATTAAATGCTGGCTAATTTAACCATCTTTCCAGACATTGTTAGAACATGTACTCACATCCAAGGGTTATTTTTACAGCTACCAAATCTGGGCACTCCCACACAAAATTTGTATATTTATTTGGTGTGTACATATATTTTATTATGTGTGAAATGCATCCTATATCATAGGATTCAGTCTCCTTAATGGCCAGACTTTTGTATATGTAATTCAGGTATTCAGAAAAGTTATTTCAGAGGCTTGTATCCTCTGCCACAGTCAGTGGCAGTAGCTTTATTCTCCTATATGGGCTACACTAGCACTTTAGGAGGATGGTCTCATTGAGCACCTAGAATTTAATCAGAAGTTGGTGTCTAAGGACACTGGGTGCCACTTGTTTAAGTCAGATGAGCTCTGCCTGAACCAGCGAGGGCTCTTGCTGCAGCAATTTCTGAGGCATTGGGAAAACCCTTTTCGTCATACTCTCACTCACTATATCTCACAGATACAGGTGGTCTTTCGGGAACATACCGCCAGCTTTAGGACCATAAATCACAATTATAAGAGGACAAGACTAATCAGATTTCATGCCTCGTGGTGCAAGGAAACAAGAAAGATTTCCATGGCCTCGTATCTCATCCTAAGAAACACTGCACTGACAGTAGTGCTGTGGGCTGAGGTCTTCTGGACCAATAGCTACAAGCAAACCATTTCTGTTCTACCATCCTGAGTCCTGATACTGCAATTACCTCCTTGTCACCAGAACTATGGAACCCTCTGGGAGAGAAAACACAGAGAAGGTGATACTTCTATAGCTAATGCTTTGAAGACACTTCCTTTTGTACCACTAACTACCTATCCACAGAAAAAATAGAAAATATCCGTTTGTAAATACAGCCAACCTTGCAATTATTATCACCCCTGGTTTCAAAATGTCAGGGATCACTAGCAGAAACAAAAGGGGAGGGAGAAAAAAGGTCTAAGAGTTTTAGTTATTTCTCCAAGGTTGCCTTCTCACCTCCTACACCAGATAAATGATTGACTGGGGAAAGGCTGCTGGAAGCAATTTCCTCCTGCAGGCAGAATCAGAGGGAGGCACCCAGCCCTGTCACCGCAGATATTTTGGAGCATATTATCACAATTGCCATCTCGTTTGAGAGAGCATCTAAACTCACAGAGTTGGTCCTTAGCCCTCTCCCACCCCGAACTGAAAGAATTTCAAAGGGGCTGTGAAATTTGATAAGCTTCCTCCTCAACCTGTGCCATCCCAAACCTAGGGCATGCTGCACGAGCGGCTGAATTATTTGAAATATTTAAAAAAGCTCAGCACTGCCCCATTTCAGCTCCCGCTTCACTCAATTCTTCTCATCTCAGGCTTTCATAGACTGTTTTGAAACAGTCAGCAGTTCATGCACGGTCTAACATTACATCAATACTTGTGAGCTGCAAGTGAAGTCAAACATTTTTAAGTACTGAAGCCTGAAGGTAAGAGGTCTGACTTCATACCTACACAAGAAACCTCCCACATAAAACTACTGAGGTATACCAGAGATTCTAAAGCCCCCAAATCCTCAGTGAAGCCAAAGAGAGATGCAGAACCCTTAAACATTTTTCAGTCAGGCCTAGCATTAAAAACATAAGATTAAAACTATGGCTTTAAAGTTCTGGAGCTGAGAGAAAGGCAGATGTAATCAATTAAAAATAAATAAATGACTAAATGCAGTGACCCCTCTGACACAGAAGAAGGCTCAAGAGGTTTTGAAAGTCATCCGAGCAATTGCGGTGCTATGCGTGGTGCCTGCCCAGCTGGAGGTGTAATGGTTGTGCTACAGCTTCCTACTTCTCTGTGAACAAGGTTTTTCTTTAATTTCTGTGAAGAAACAATAGTGAAAAGCTGCCAAAATACTCCTGCAAGAAGTATTTGGGATCTTCTGAGATGAAAGCCTCTATTTAAAGAAAAGGCTCAAATAAAAAGCTATGGAAATTGAAGCGTGATAAAAGTAAGCTCTAGTTGTGTTAAAATATTTCTAGCCGAGACTGCAAAGTAGACTTTCCCTTTTCTAATATAGCACAGTCTGAAGGAAGGAATAGCCTGGGAAACAGCCTCCAAATGAAGATATCACACAAAATCTGTCTT